CATTATTCTTTCAGAAGGAGAGAAGAAATCTAGGAAATTAGAGGGTGGAGGGGGAGGGAATGGGGAGAGGTTGGACAAGGGGCATAAAACATAATTACGGTTTGTAACAATATATATGCTAGTAATACTGATTTAATCAACATATCTCATTGTTCAACCCCCAAAATATGTATAATCGATTTTGATTCAATAAATAAAATAAATTATTTTAAAAAATGTATTCAAGTCTTGAGCTGAAGGAAATTGGGGCTACAGTTCAGAACCCCCCAGTTTCAGGCCTACTTTGATGATAGAAAATTTTCTAATGTCCAAGTAATTTTCTGCTGTTATTCAGCTCTATCTATGACTGTATGCTATTGGCTGCCTTTCTAAGCATTTCGATGGAGGAAAATTCACATTTTGCCCCACCTGAGCCCAGTTCTGAGAGGGTTCTTGGCAGGTGCGTGTGTGCACATGTGTGTGTGCACACACCCGTTCTCAGCTGCTCCACCTCTCTGGCTGTTCTGTCTGACTTGTGTCTTCCAGGGCTCACTGGGCCAGAATCTCCAGGGGACTAGGGCTGGCCCCTATATCCCCACTTGTGGGCATGAGAAGGAGCAGGCAGAGGCAACAGAGAGTACTGGCTTTACTAATCCATTGATCAGACATATTCTAGATCGTTACAGTCATTTTTCTGCTTTATTCTAACAATTACTAAGAGAGGTAGTTAAAATTGTCCACAATGATTACGGATATATCTCTTTTTATTTTTGTCCACTTTTTCAATTTTTTTTTTTTTGCCAGCTGGCCAGTACAGGGATCTGAACCTGTAACCTTGGTGTTATCAGCACCACATCCCAACCAACTGAGTGACCTGGCCAGCCCCAAATCATTATGTTTAAAGTGTACAATTCAGTGGTTTTTAATATACTCACAAAGTTATGCAACCATTACCACGACCTAATTCCAGAACATTTTCATCATATCAGAAAAGAAACCCTACCCATTAGTAGTCATTCCCCTCTTCCCTCCCCCACCCTGGCTACCACTAATCTATTTATTGTCTTTATGAATTTGCCTATTCTGGACATATATCTGTCTATTTAAAAAATATATACTTTAAGGCTAAATTATTAGGTGCACACAAATTGAAAATCATTTTATCTTTCTGGAGAACTGAACTTTTTAACATTCTGAAGTAACCCTCTAGTAATGCTTTTGCCGTAAAGTCTATTTTTCTGACATTCATATAGCTACACTACTGTTCTTTTGGTCAGTGTTCGTATGGTGTATCTTTTCCCAGCCTTTTACTATCAACCTTTATAATAGATGTCTCTTATAAACAACATGTAGTTGTACTTTTTAAAGCCAATCTGATCATCATTGTCTTTTAACTAGAACATTTAGTCCATTTACATTTAATGTAACCTCTGATATAACTGATTTAAATCTCCCATCCTAGGGCTGGCCCGTGGCTCACTCGGGAAAGTGTGATGCTGATAACACCAAGGCCTCGGATCCCACATAGGGATGGCCGGTTCGCTCACTGGCTGAGCGTGGTGCTGACAACACCAAGTCAAGGGTTAAGATCCCCTTACCGGTCATCTTTTTTAAAAAAAATAAAAAATATAAATAAATAAATAAATAAATAAATCTCCCATCCTATAATCCACCTCCTTTTTGTGCTTCCTATTTGTCACACTTGCTCTATGTTTTTGTTTTTCTCCTGTTTCTTGCCTTTGAGAAACTGAGTGTACCAGTACACCACATTCTTCCATCCCTGCCCCTTTTGGTGTGGCAGAAGGGTGATTCAAGCCAATATCATGTCTCCCTGCCTGAGTCCAGAACATGGCACAGTCCAGAATGCCAGGCACAGAGCAGGCACTCCATCAGTGATAAATGAGAGAAAGGGTGACTGAAAGAACACAGCAGTAGCTGTCTGTCTGGAATTGTAAGCTCCTGGGCACTGGAATACCCACAGTGGCCCAATCTGTGGGCCTAGGAATGACTCCCACCTCCTCCCCAGCCAGAACCATGTTCCCATTAGCCCTAGGTTGAGAGGTCCCAGAGAGATATAAGCCTTCTTTCATGGGGTGGATCAGTGGATCTGAGTTCTAGTCCTAACTCTGCCACTAACTTGCTGTGTGACCTTGGGCAAATCACTCCCCATCTCTTAGCCTAAGTTTTTCTCATCTGTTCAATAAGGAGATTGACCTAGAGAACAACAGCTCATAGTAATAACAGTTAACGATTGCTGAGTGTTTTTTATGTACCAGGGACGATTCTAAGCAGTCTACATTAACAACTCATTTAATCCTCACAACAACCTTTTGAGAGAGTGTGATATTTTCATATTTATGTATTGGTTTTTGTCCACGGTACCTGGCTCATGCTACTCTCTGATCTTCTCCTGCCCTCCTTCCACCTGCTTGTTTTTCTCCTTGGGGCAGGAAACTCTGGGACCTACCTTAGCTGACTATGTCATAAGACCCTCATTTTAGGAGGGATCCCGCCCCAAGCCCAGGAGGAAGGAATGCTACACAGAGAGGCCAAGAAGAATCTGAACAAACTGGCCGTGCTGGGTTTCCCCACCCAGACTGTTAGTGTTAGATCAGACCCTTTTTGTCCAATCACATTTGTACATGGTTGTCCATGCTTCAATCATGCCTCTCCAATGAAGTCTCCATCAAAGACCCAAGACACAGGGTTCAGGGAACTTCTGGACAGCAGAACTCATCCACATGCTGGGAAGGTGGTGCATCCCAACTCCATGGGAACAAAAACTTCGCACTCAGGACCCTTCCAGATCTTACCCTATGTATCTCTTCATCTAGCTGTTTCTTTTTTTTTTTTTTTTTAAAAGATGACCGGTAAGGGGATCTTAACCCTTGACTTGGTGTTGTCAGCACCACGCTCAGCCAGTGAGCGAACCGGCCATCCCTATATGGGATCCGAACCCGGGGCCTTGGTGTTATCAGCACCGCACTCTACCGAGTGAGCCACGGGCCGGCCCTTCATCTAGCTGTTTCTTTGTATCCTTTAAAATGTCCTTTGTAGGCTGGCCAGTTAACTTAGAATGCAGCCTTATAACGCTAAGGTCATGGGTTTGGATCCCCATACTGGCCAGCCACAAAAAAAATAAGTAAATAAATAAAAATAAAATGTCCTTTGTAATAAACATAAGTAAGTGTTTCCCTGAGTTCTGTGGGCCACTCTAATGAACTAAAAAAACCCAAGGAAGGGGCTCTGGGAACCCTGATTTACAGCTGGTCTGAAATTCCACAGGCCTGGGCTCACGACTTGCATCTGAAGTGGGAGGCAGTCTTGGGGACTGTGCCCTCACCCAATGGGATCTGATGCTATCTTCAGGTAGGTAGTGTGAGAGTTAAATTGGAGGACACCTAGCTAATGTCTACTGAATAACTGCTGGCTTGCTTACCACTGGGGAGAAATCTCCACACATCTGGTCACAGAAGTCAGAAGTCATGTTATGTGTTACGTGTTGTGCTGTGAGAGTGTAGAAGAAAGACTGTATTTTTCCCACTTACTCACTCGCTCTTACTCCAATAGGGAGGTATGATCATTTCTTCCATTTTTACATGGGGGGCAACTTAGACATACAAAGGTCAAGCGTCTTGATCAAAGTCACACAGCAGGTAAGCGGTGGGGTCAGGATTCAAACCCGGGCAATCTGGCTCTAGAAACAATGCATATAACCACTAAAACTTTTATTTTCATTGCACTAATTGCATCTCAACAAAGGAAATCCAAGGAAAAGAGAATTCCAGACCTGGATCAAACTTTTTCTTCTTTCTTGGTTCCTACAGTCCTCACCAGTGTGATACTTTATTCACACAAAGTTGTAACCACAAGTTGTGAAGTTCAGACCCTACACAAGTCCATCCCCTGTCCCACCAAACATGAGTAGGGGGGCTTGTATGGGGACCAAGGGAGTTTTCTCAAACTAAAGAGATGGCTCTGAGATTCCTTGGGGTGAAGTACAGGAGGCTCTGATTTAGAGAGAGGGCAGCTGCTGGACAGTACACAGCAGATGCAGCCCAAGGGGCCCAGACCAAATCCCACTGTCCATCCTTGTTTCCCCAGCACCAGCAGAGGACCTGGCAAGAAGGTTCTAGGTAACTGTTCATAGGATGGACAACGGTGGAGAGGCTCCAGCACCATTCAGATCTAGGTTGCCATCTTGGGTTGCTCACTGGTAAACATTTGCCTGTGACAAGAGCCTCAAATCTCTTCCCAGCAGACATGGAATAAAATCCAAACCTTGGCTTCTAAGGGGCTGCATGATCTGACCCCTGCTGATCCCTCTGACCTTATCTCTAACCACCTTTGACCTCGACCATCTTCTCCTGTTACATGGGCCTTCTTGGTTTCCTTCAAGTTCTCGTGCCCCAGGGCCTTTGCACTTGCTTTCCCACAAAGTATTTTCAGGGGTCACTCTGTCACTTCATTATGGCTCAAATGTGACCTCCTTGATAACTGGACCTACAGAACCCCCTCCCAGGTCACTATCTCATGCCCCTGTTTAGCTCTTCCATAGCACTGGTCACCAGCTGGAACTATGCCATCTACTTATTTGTTTACATAGTGATCACCTATCTCCTATGCACCAGGAGAGGAGAGAGGTGATCACTATGTAAACAAATAAATGGACAACATAAGCTCCATGAGGGCAGGGTCTTTGTCGTGTCCCACGTGGATTCCCCAGGGCCTAAAAGAGAGCCTATCATATAGAATGGAATCGATAGCCATTTGTGGAATGAACCTCTGCGTTATCATCTGTAAATCAAGGCTACGCGATTTCTGTCCAGAAGTTATGCTGCAAATCCACACAACAGTAGGAGCCAAAATGCTCTGGAAATAAGACAGCACCACACAAACTGTTATCCTGATGGTTACTGATGGCGTGGGTGGCGAGAACAGAAGCAGCCCTCTCCTCACTTCCATGCTGACCCCTCTCTTACCTTCGTGCTTCTGAAACTCCTCCTCAGAGAAGTTGACATCCTTGTGGGAGAGGTTGGTCAGGAGCTGCTTGTTTTCCTCTTGCAGCTGGGCTATCTGGGTAAGCAGATCCTGTGCCTCCCCTCGCCACACGTCCTCCACCAGCTCCAGCTCCTGCCAAAGCGAGGGGACAGCAGGCGGTCACAGCCTGCCCAGAGCAGCAGCCTCACCCACCCCAACCCTCGGGAGCAGCTCAGGTTGCTGGGGCTTTGGGCTGTCCTCTTCCCCAGGAGAACCAGGCATCAGGCAGGTGGGTAGACAAGGCCACCATTAACTCCTGTGGCACCTTAGTAAGAGAGAGAAGGCGCTCTTCCTCTGGGCAGACACCTGCATTTATGCTATGAGGACCTGGCCCGAGGACAACCCTGAAGCTGGCACTGCACTTTTAGCTGCCTCCAGAGAAGAGAGAGTGGATGAGCAGCCCCAGGTTATGGGGGTCCTAACACTGCCAACTGCCTCTGGGAGGGTCATGTCCCCAATCTTCAGACAGACAGTCAGGACAAACCTCTCTCCAAGGGAGAAAGAGGCTGCACAGGCTCTGGGGATGCTCAGGCTGACAGGGCCACCCTCGCCCAGACTGTCTTGGCTGTCTAATGCAGACATTTCTTCAAGGGGTCTTGACTGCACAGGCTCTGGGGATGCTCAGGCTGACAGGGCCACCCTCGCCCAGACTGTCTTGGCTGGCTAATGCAGGCATCTCTTCAAGGGGTCTTGTGTAACTCATGTAACCCCTCTGAGCCTCAGTTTTCCTCAGCTGGGGAACCAAAACAAAAACGCTCACAAGGTAGATGTGAAGATAAATAAGATCAGCCTATTATTTTTTCCTTTTTGTCTTTTTTTCGTGACCGGTAACGGTCTGGGGAACCAAAACAAAAACGCTCACAAGGTAGATGTGAAGATAAATAAGATCAGCCTATTTTTTTTTCCTTTTTGTCTTTTTTTCGTGACCGGTAACGGGATCTCAACCCTCAGTGTTGCGCCCATACCGCGACCGGCAATGGGATCGCAACCCTCGGTGTCACGCCTGCACCACATTCAACCAGTGAGCGGACCGGTCTCTATATGGGATCCGAACCCTCGACGGGAGCGCCACTGGGCCGGCCCAGATCAGCCTATTAACATTATTTTGTGAATGGCTATCAACAAAGAAACAGATGCTAGTAAGTTTGGCAAAGACATGAAGAAATTGAAACCTTCGAATGTTGCTGATGAGGATGTGAAATAGTGCAGCCATTCTGGAAAACAGTCTGGCAGTTCCTCAAAATGTTAGACACACAGTTACCATATGACCCAGCAATTCCACTCCTAGGATCTGTCCAAGACATGAAAACATACATCCACACAAAACTGTGTGCACATGAATATTCACAACAGCATTATTCTTAGCAGCCAAAAGCCGGAAACCCATGTGTCCATCCACTGATGAATGTGTAAATAAAATGCAGTCTATCTACACGATGGAATATTATCCAGACATATAAAGGGATAAGTGGTGAAAACGCTACAACATGAGTGAACCTTGAAAACATCATGCTAAGAAAAGAGGCCAGACACAAAAGGCCACATAGTATGATTCCATTTACATGAAATGCCCAGAGTAGGCAATTCCATAAAGGCAAAAGGCAGACTGGTGCTGTCCAGGGTACAGTACCGTGGGGGAAATAAGGAGCCGTTAGTTAACAGTCATTAGTGGCTACAGGTTTTCTTGGGGGAGGTAATGAAAATGGAAAATCGGTTGTGGTGATGGTTGCATAACTCTGTGACTATACTAAAAACCAGTGAATTGTACACTTCAAATGGATGAACTGTACAGTATCTGAATTATACTCAATAAAGCTGTTACCAAAAAAAGGTACCTTGTAAAATCGTAAACTAGCTCACAATGCATTATGGCTGTTGCCTGCATAAAACTACTCTGTGACTATACTAAAAACCAGTGAATTGTACACTTCAAATGGATGAACTGTACAGTATTTGAATTATACTCAATAAAGCTGTTACCAAAAAAAGGTACCTTGTAAAATCGTAAACTAGCTCACAATGCATTATGGCTGTTGCCTGCATAAAACCGTGGTTTAAGGCATGGATACCAGAGCCTGTCAACCCGAGCTTGAATCCTGTTTCTGCCACTTACTAGCTGATCTTGGGAAAGTTATTCAACCTTTAAGTGCTCCAGAAATGAGGAAAATAGTATCTACCTCTAAGGATTGTTGCGAGCATTAAATGGTTACTATACATAAAGCTCTTGGAATTGTGTCTGGCACCAGAAAGTGCTAATGGGATGGGTGCTGATCTCTGTTCCTCCTACAATTCAACACTAGCCGGCCAGGTGGCCGGATGTTCAGCATCACCTCCGTTCATCTTCTAAATAAGTCCCTAAATCCCACCTCCTTTGTCAGGAAGCCTGCTGCACTGGGGAAATGGGAGGTAATAACTAAGTATTTGTGCAGCTGGTTCAAGGTCACTGGGGGAGATGAAGGCCAGGGTTGGGGGTAGAAGTAGTCATAGGACAGTGGAGTGAGCCTGCGACCTTCCCACACATAGGTGTGGCCTGAAAGCAGACTCAAGCTCTTCCAGCCCATTCCTCTCTGCTCCCACCTTGCACAGGCTAGGCATGCAGAGGGCTTGGTGAGCAGCAGTCAAGTGTATTTGGCTGGGGTAGGCAGAACAACAGTCCCTAAAGATGTCCACATCCTGATTCCTGAAACCTGACAATGAGTTACCTTACACAGCAAGAGACTTTGCAGATGTGATTAAGTTAAAGATCTTGAGATGGGGAGATGATCCTGGATTACCTGGGTGAGTCTACGTAATCACAGGGTCCTTATGAGAGGGAGGCCGGAGGGTCAGGGTTACAGACAATGTGGCAACAGAAGCAGAGGTCAGAGTTAGAGAGATTTGAAGATGCTACACTGCTGGCTTTGAAGATGGAAGAAGAGGCCACAAGCCAAGGAATGCGGACTGTGTCCAGAAACTGGAAAAGGCAAAGAAATGGATTCTCCTCTAGAGCCTCCCAAAGGAATGGAGCCTTCCTGACATCCTGATTTTAACCCAGTGAGATGCATTTCTGACTTTTGACCTCCAGAACTTTATCCAGTATTATCCATATTGATGTTAACTGTATGTATCCATAATATTGTGTTACACTCTTTCCATATGTATCCATAATATTGTATTACGCAGTACGGTAATACATTTCTGCTGTTTTGAGCTTCTAAGATTGTGGTAATTTCTTACAGCAGCCACAAGAGATGAATACAGTCTTTAACCCTCAGTTCTCTTCCTTAATGACCTGAAGTTGATGTTGAGGGAGTTGGTTCTTGCCTCTGAGCTGACCATGGAGTATTTGATCCTGCCTCCATACCAGCTGAAAGTATCTCCCAGAAAGTCAGCCATGGTTAATCATCTCCTTTCCTTCTCTCGGCACCAATACTCCTCAAACTTGCTCCAGCCTCTAAGACCCAGCCCCTCCATGGCCTCATCTCCCAGCCTCTTCCTCACTCATTCTGCTCCAGCCACACTGGCCTTCTTTGTGTTCCCTGAACATGCCAAGCACATTCCTACCTCAGGACCTTTGCACATGCCGTGTCTTCTGCCTAGAATGCCTCTCCCCAGATCTTTCTGAGGCTGGTTTCTAGACTTCATTCAGATCTCGGCTCAGATGTTACCTCCTCAGGGAAGCCTTCCTGATTGCCCCATCTATGAGACCCCCACCTTAACCAGTCCCTTTCATACCTCCATTTTATTTTCTTCACGGCACTTATCATAAGCTGATATTTAAAAAACTATCTCCTCATGCTAGAATTGCACCATCCCATAGAATAGCCACTAGCCACATGTGGCTAGTGAGCACTTAAAATGTGGCTGGTCTGAACTGAAATGTGCACTAAGGGTTAAATACGCACCAGATTTCAAAGACGTAGTAGGAAAAAAAGAATGCAAAATATCTCATTAATAATTTTTTACACTGATTACATGTTGAAAGGAAAATATTTTGGATTTACTGGATTCTATAAGATATATTAAAGTTAACCCCACCTGTTTATTTTCATTAACATGGAAAGCCACATTATATTTCTTTTTTTGTTTGTTTTCTTTTTCTTCTTCACATTATATCTCTATGGGACGGCACTGCACTAAAAACATCAGGCCCATGAGGGCCAAGACTTAATCTGTCATGGTCACTGCTGTCTCCCCAGTGCCCAGAACAGCATGTAGTAGGTGCTCAATAAATATATCTGTTGGATGAATGAATGAACAACACATGCTGTTTATGTTATATGCAACTGTACCTGCACAGCCACTGCTTTCTAAAGTCTATCTGTGTGTTTTCCCTGTCTTCCCTATCACCTGCCTGCTGCCTGACAAGAGGAACCAGCTTTGCTTTTCTTGGCATTGCCCACATCACTCAGGACGGTGCAGTGCACACTGTGGCCCATCAACGGGGCTGCAGACTGAGTAACGGGATAGAACATGATGTGACTGTGGCCTGGGATGAGTGATGAGCAGAACTGACTGAGTCTACGTGTCTGTCGGAAGGAGGAACAGGTAGAAGAGAGGGTGCATGCTTTACCTGCCTTACTGCAGCCATATTTGCTGAGAGAGAGGGAGGGAAGGAAGGAAAAAAGAAAAGGAGGGAAAGAACGAGAGAGGGAGAGAGGGAGAGATGGAGCAGGGAAGGGAAGGATGCAAGGAAGGAAGGACAGATGGGCAAGACCAAGGACATGCTAAGAAGATTTTCGTGGAAATATCACCTTGAAGAGCCATCAGGGATGAGAGATCACCCTCACTGTTCACAAACAAGCCCTGGCCCTGCATAAGTGCGTGTTCCCGTCCTGGCTGATAGTGTTCCAGAAGCAACAAGTGCGGCTGGCAAATTCCATCCGACTTCAGGCCCAGTGGCCTCTGACAAGGGCGTCTCCCAGCCTGGCCATGGCAGAACTAAATAGCCAGGGGTAGGGACACAGGTGCCAGGACTTCTGTGTGACCATAACCCTTTAGTCCCTGTTAATGAGAGGCCGCCACATGAGAGGATTTTGAAGGTCCCTTCCCTCCCTGACTCTAGGAGAGATGGAGGCATCTGGGGTAGAAGTAGAGGTGTATGTGGTGGAAGTTGGAGGAGCCCCAATATCAGCCTGTGAGCACCTCAGTGAAAGTCTCTTTAGGCTTAAAAATAATAGTTAACATTTATAATACCCTTGCTATGGGAGGCTCTGTTCTGAGCACTTTACATATATTAACTCCTTTAATCCTCACCATAAACCTACAAGTGGGTACTATTATTATCCAGTTTTATAGCTGAGTAAACCAAGGCACAAAGAGGCTAGGTGACTTGCCCAGTGTCACAGAGCCTGCAGGTGATATGAAACCAGACTGTCTAGCTCCAAAGTCCCTGCTTCCTAGAAATCTTGAAACTAATTATAGGATTTTGGCATTTTCAAGCTCAGAGTGTGACCTTGGAAATGCTGCCTGATTCTTGGGAGTTTGAGTTTCATTCCTGACTCCAAGGCATAGGGACCTATGAGGACAAACACAAACTGGCAATACTGCTGTTAACTACGAACGGATTCCCTCAGGTTAAGGCTGCAGACTCAGCTTCAGCCATTTTCCTTGAAAACACACAGATCCATCAAAGTACACAATTGGTGATGGTGCGCCAGGTTCAGAGAGGCTGGTTGTATTTCCTGAGGCCACATAGCAAGCCAGAGCATACTCAGTCACCCTGATCCCTCAAGGAAAGGTGTTTCCTCCCATTCTCAGTCTGAGGGGTCTGCCAGGAGCGTCCCTGGGCTGAGGTTAGGGCAGGAAACCACATGTCTCCCACTTCCTTTTCCCCAGGCACCTCATCTGTCTGGACTTCCAGCCCAGTGGGGAGGCCCCGATTCAGAGAAACTCCTGTACCCAGAGCAGAGGCTTGGCCTTAATGCTGCCCCAAATCATCTTCTTCCCCCGGTGCAAACAGGGTGGGGAAGAGACATAGAATTACTTTCACTGGGGCTGGGACTCGCTCACCACTGACTTGGGACAAATTACTCCCCCAACTCTGACCCTTGGTTTTCTCATCTGTAAAGTGAAGATAATTCCTACCTCACAGGGTTCTGTGAGGATTAAAGATAAAATCAAGGGGGGGGGGAGCACCTCAGGGCACAGATTAATAAATTAGGGGAACCCTGGGAAGAAAGTTGCAAACATAAATCCAGAGACTGGGCGTCATTAAGCTCAGTGGCTGGAGGTCACATCCCCTTTGCTCTGAGGGGCTCTGGGGTGGGATGAAAAAAGGGGCCTGGTGTCATATCTTCTTGGGTAATACTGAAGGGCAGGGGGCTTATTTCATTTCTGGAAAAGAATAATAACATCGAAGCACTTTACCTATATCATACTTTTTAATTCTTATAAGGTGGGTCCTATTATGATCACCATTTGACAGGTGAGGACATAAAGCACGGAGAGATTAAGTAACTTACCCAAAGTCACACAGCTATTAAACGGTAAAGGTGGGAATGGAACTCAGGTCTGATTCCAGAGAACTGCTCTTAATCTCTCGGGTGGTATATGCCAAGTGCCCCTGGCTGGGCAAAAGAGGGCCAAGGGCCTCCCTCCCTCATCCGGTCTGGTCTCCTCCGGTCTAGTCCCTGTATACACACACGTGTGCACCCATAGGTGCCCAAAGCTGAAGGGCCCGTGGGTCCCGGCAGCCCCATTGCCCGGACGGGCAGACTGAGGCCGCTGCCCACCTTCTGGTGCTTTCGCTCCTTCTCGATGCGGTCCATCCTCTCCAAGCGCAGACGGTCCAGCTCGAGGCGCAGCTCGTCCAGCTCGGGCGCGACGTGGTGGCGGCTGACCAACACCTCCAGGATCTCCAGGACGCGCACGACCTTGGGCATGAGGCGCGCGATGGCCTCGCAGCCGTGCTGGTCGATGACCCGCTCGAACTCGTGGCCCACCAGCGACGCGATGTCGTACACGTCCATGACGGTCAGCTCGGCCACGTTCTTCTCCAGCGCCGACTCGGCCGCCAGCGCCGACCCCCGCTCCTCCTCCATGGCCCCTCTCCCGGCCTCTCCCCCACCCCGCAAACTAGTGCAACTCCCAAACTTGCCGCTGTCGAGG